CAACCCCCCAAACCGAAGACTGGAGCACACATCCTCCTCCCCAATGAAGCCCTTCTGCTCTCCGGAGCAAAAGGACCCATTCACTTTTACTATTCACCCAGCAGCCTGGCTGGAACTCCAACAAGGTGTGACTGTATTCTTCCAAACTGAAAAACAGTGTCCAGCAGCGCCAGGTACTTAATGACAAAGGAGTCAGCTCACTACAGCGTCTTCCAGCTTCCGTGACTTTTTCTCACCCCCCCCCCAACAAAAACCAGGAGGCGAGCAACTTGACAAACTGTTTTTAAGAATCACAAATGGTCCCTAACTGCTATAATAAAGCAATTACTCCTCCCACCCCAAGCAAACAGAGCGGGCGCTCGGAAGGCAGCAGGTCTCGGGTCCCCCGGCTGCACTTCCGTCCGCAGCCCGGAGCCTCCCAGTCCTCTCGCTGGGACCGAGCCTCTGCCGAGCCGCCCCAACTCCCGGGCGCCCGGCGCCAGCGCGTCCGGACGGGGAAGGCCGATGCCGGCTCACCCGAGCCGCCAGCACCGAGGGGCCCGGCCGGGACCGGGCAGAGCCGGGCCCGCTGCCCAGGCGCCGCCCGGCCGCACAATGGGGCGCGGGCCGTCCCCCAACGCCTCCGCGCCCGGCGCCCGGCCCCGCTCCGGCGACTAGGCCCCGCCGCGCTCCGCTGCCCGGCCCTCGCGTAGCGGCGGCGCCAGGAGGGGACCGGCCGAGTCCGGCGCCGGCCGAGCAGTGGTAGCGGAGCGCGTCCGGGTCGGGGTCCCGGGCCGGGCGGCACGGCGCCGCGGTGCCTCACCATGTTGGTGTCCTCCGGACCTCTCCCCTCCTCCTCCGGCTCCGCAGCGAATGGACGGCGGCGGCGGCGGTGGCGCCTCTCACGGGCTCGCCGGGCTCCCGCTCATGCGCAGTGCGGCGGCCCGCGGAGCGGCCCGGCCGCGGGAGGCGGAGGGCGCGGGCCCCGGGGTGGGCGGCCTGGCCTGCCGGCATCCGTGGCGCGAGCGGCTGGGCGACCCGGCCACCGGGGCTGAGGCCATGCTCCCAGACCCGCGCGGCGAGCGGGCACCAGCGGGGCGCCGGCCGGCCAGCGCGTGGGCACCCGAGTCGGCGGGGCCCTGTGCGCGCCCCCACTCAGGGCGCCAGGGTCACGGCCGCGTCCTGTCCGCCGTGCGCTGCTAATAGCCCCACGTCAGAGTTTCCCGGGTAAGTTTTGGGAAGAATACGGGAAACCATTGCACCTAGAGTCACTATCATGGTGAACTGTCCAAGCTCGACCTAGCCTGGCTTCTGAGCTGCGGTCCAGAGGACGTGTGTGTGCTGCAAGGAAACATAGTGCTCCCTGCAGAGGAAGGAAATAAAACAGCAAGTATGGCTCTTTTAAAAGCTACTCAGGTTTGTGTATGTCACCCAACAGTATCATCCACATCTTCATCACCAGCATGGGTCTGTCTCCCTTCAACACAGGCATACAACACCAGATAAGCCCTAGAAGTTAACAGCCTCCCAAGTTTCTACTAAAAGAACTGTTTTGTAACTCCTCAAGACTTCCTACTACTGCTTAGAACTAGCCACGTGTTGGGAGCTCCTTGAGCCCTACGGAAGCAGATCTTTGGCGCTACAGAATTGTCACTCACTCATTCTTGCCTTCAGCAGCCTGTTTACACTGATGCGGTTAGCTTCTTTCAAGGCCCTAAGAAAATAACACGTAGCAAGCGTGAAACTGGATCACACCTGTGGATATTCTCTAGGAACTCAACCTAGCAACCTGAAATATTAACGAAGAAGGTTGTCTCTTGCGGCACTCCCTTAGACTTTATTGCAACAACAGCTTATAGATTTTCTTAAAGCTCTTTTTTCCTAAGTGCCAGCTCCAAGGGGTGATACTTGGTTCCACTTGACCTCTTTCTTGGAATTTTTACCATTTTCCATGAATTGATTTACTTTTTAGTGTCCCCTACTTTGACCATTCTTCTTTGCTAGATAAACTCTTTGGTTTTTCAGTGATGGGCTTTCCAGAACCAACCCCGAATCTGTTCATATATTGTACTCCTTTACTCCTGTCCATATGCCCAGTGAGTCCAAAAATCTTGGCCAAAGCTGGCCAATGGTGTATCCTAAACACCAATTCTGTTTATTCCACCGGCCCTCAAAGCAAAACTCCTTTCCTCCTGCTTTTTTATCATGCAAGTTAAATACTAGAACCATCCACAGTGGCTCAACCTCATTTCCCTTAGTCTGAGCTTGCCGATTTTATCACCTGAACAAATCTGCATTCTACCTCTCTGTCCCTTAGCCAAGAGTCCATTATCCCTCATCAGTAATATCTTTCCTCCATCGCTTTTGAGATGGTGGGGTCTGACCATGTAGCCCAGGCTAACTGCCAACAGCTTTGTTTGAGCTCCCAGGATTACAGGCATGTTTGTCTCCTATCCCATCTTCTCCATATTTTCCCTTCTGTACCAGAGTTGTCTGTCAGCAATGCAGACTAGACTCTCTTCCTCACAGCCTCCAAGAACTATCCTAACACAAACCTCTCTGGAGTCATGGGGTTTCTCTCCGCATTGTTCCATTGCCTTTTTCCTGGCCCTCCACACAAGTGCAGCTCATATTTAGTGTTTGCCTGCTAAGCACGATATACTTCACGTTTCCTGGCTTGGTCCTATTTTGTCCCTAGCACACTAGCTAACATGAGTGAAGACTTCCTGTGTATCATACTGTCTAAGCCCAGGAGACTCAGTTCAGGTCTGAGGTATGCCCATTTGGTAGGGAGCACCAAAGCACAGAGTAATATGCCCACCCAAGGTTACACAGCAAGTAATAGAGCTAGGACTTAAACAATCTGCTTATAATATGTTCTCTTAACTACCACAGTTTATTTCTTACTCTGGACTTCTGCAATTGGGGCATTTCGTTTTACATTTTTATGACCCCCTAGGGTATACTGTTAGATTAAGGCATCATCTGATAATCATTTGTCGCCATAGCTAGGGCAAAGACCTAATCGCATACATCGCTGAGGTAATTTTGTTTGTTTTGTTTGTAGGTGGAGTCCGTGATGGAGGTCAGAGGACAACCTCAGGTGTCATGCCTTCAGCCTTGCTTAAACTGGAGTTCCTGTTGTTTTTCTACCTCTAATGCCAAACTGGCTGGCCCTTGGACTCTGGGAATTCTCCAGTATCCACCTTCCATCTCCCTGTAGGGATACTTGGATTTTAGACACATGAACTATGTGTCCTACTTTTCCATACCTCCTGGGAATTTGAAATCGTGTGCTTGTTTTTGAAGCACGTGTTTTGCACTATCTTTAATTTTTTAGTGTTGGGTGGGTGAGATAGCTCAGAGATAGAGAGGTAGAATGTTTGCCTTGTGCTTCAAAAACTACTTGTGGTAATAACTGGACCAGGTATGGTGGCACATGTTTTTAATCCCAGTGCTTGTTAGGCAGATGCAAGGGAAGGCCAAGCTAGTGTACACAGTAAGTTCCAGCTCAGCCAGGGTACACATTGAGAGTCTGTCTCAAAAGAAGTTACAGCAGTGCTGTGTCCATACTGTTTGTTATTGTAGTAGGATGCTCATTCTAATAGATGCATATTATACACTTGGCCATATGGTAAATGTAACAGCAATGGTTATACCACTACATTTCCAGGTTACAGAACTGAATATGAGATGGAGAATACTAATCATTATTATTTTGTGAGATAAGCACATTTGTGAACATTGTCCTGGTTATTTATTTATTTATTCATTTGATTTGCAGGTTCTTGAAGATAACATGTAAGTTACAATATTTGACTAACAAGAGGTATTCATTAAAATGTTTCAAATGCTTTAGTTTTTTTCAAATACAGAAATTGTGTGTGTGTGTGCATGTGTCTGTGTGTGTGATATGTGTTTATAGGTGTGTACATACCTTTGCATATATGGGGAAGCCAGTGAGGAGATCAGATGTCCTGCTATATCACTCTGTGCCTCACTCTTGAGACAGGGTCTCTTACTGAACCCAGAGCTATGCCAGTTTCCAGCAACCTCCACTGATGTTCCTGTCTCAGATCTACCCCACCCCAGCACTGGAGCTACATGCCGGCATGCCTAGCGTAGTATGTGGGTGCAGAAATCTGAACTTGGGCCCTCGTCTTTAAGCAACAGGTTCTCTTACCTACTGAGTTATCTCTCCAGCCCCTCAAATACATAATTTTTAAAACTACTTTTATAGTGGTAATTTTGGCTCAGTAAAAAAGAAGTAAGATGAAAACATCTAGCTGAAATGCATACCTGCACACACACATTCTTTGTACACACATAGCTATAATGACATAGTATTTGCAGACAGGTGGCATTTCAAGGTAAACCCATTTGAAAAAAAATGTTGCTGCAAAAGCTTACATCTTTCATGTTATAGTAAATATTCACTGATAAGAATCATTGCAACTCTGTTTAGAGAAACATGGAAAACCAAAGAGGCTAGAATTCTAGAATCTGTGTTTGGCAGCAAGAGAAGAACTCTGAAAAGACAGATTGCTAGCATTTCTGGTGGTTCATTTAGCTAAAATGAAGCCAGCAGGCTAGTTCTGAATATCCAACTTCAGTTTCAAGGCATGGTCTGAGAGATGTGGCCACCAGCTTCTCATAACTTGGGTGGATGCTGTTTAGTCCTATGCTTACATAACATGTGTTTTTTGGGCCCATATTTTGCAACATATTTTAGCCTGAATAAAATAACATGTACAGCTTATTGATTCAGAATTATAGCATGTTTGTGTCTGTGTATGCTGGAAATTGAACCCAAGGTTTCATATATGCTGAGCACACCTGTGGCTCTGTACTTTACCCTCAGCCTCCAAAGTAGAACTTTTAAAGGAGAATCCTTTTGTAAGAGTTAGACCTTATGGACCACAGGAAATCTATGGGGGCCACAGGTCCCAATTCACACCAAAGTAATGAGAGTGGGCTTAGAAGTACAAGCCTTTGCTGTCCCCTGCCCCAGTAAACGTTACCAGTGAAGCTGAAGGAATGACTGCCTGGGACTCTTTCCTCCACATTCTGAACCATTCGAAGAGGAATCCTTAATCAGGACAAAGGGAAAAACCTCAGGGAATCAGGCATCATTATACACCTCATCGCAAACACGTAATACTGGGGTGGGTCACCTTCTAAATAGAAAATGGGAATATTCACCAGAGCCAGCCTGTCACCTCAAGGTCCATGCGGATCTGCTGATTTTAGCTGTTTCACACTCATGGTAGAGGAATGGGCTTGGAGCAAGTAACAGTGTGGCCTGGGAGGGTCAGCAATAGGACTCAGAGACCATCACTGCTGATGTCACAATGTCCTACTGTCCCAGAGTGAGCCCATCTCTCTTCCCAAGTAGGCTCTGTCCTTCCTAGATGTGACCCCTCTGCTCAGCCATTTGTCCTGAACAACTCTGGTTTCAATGGATGAATTCCTGACGACAGGAGGCCGCAGAGCACCGCTGATGGTCCCTGGTTCTTTAGATACCCTCCTAAGACACTCTATACAAGTGACAGCCTTTGAATTGCCATTGCTGTTGAATAATCACTGCTGCCCTGCCTTTATTAAATGGATAGTATGTAAGATATAAAACTGCCTGTCTAGGGCTTAGTAGTCTCAACTACAGAGAAAACATTATGTTAATTTTTGATAAAATTTCACAAAAATCCTGTTTGACTCATTGCTAGCAAAGGGTCCCTCAAATAAGGGAAATAGCCAGGTTTGTACTCCTGTAATCCCAGCATGGGGATACTGAGGCAGACCAATCTTGAGTTCCAGGCCAGCATGAGTCCCGAAGTTCAGACCCCCATTTTACAAAGCAGAAAGAAAATTCAAGGAAACATAATCACTTTCACCTTTCTCTCTTGAGTGTGTGACATTTACAAGTCACTGTGCCTGCTGACTAATGCCACGGTGTAGGCAAATGAGAAACTATTTTAAATTTCCTCACAGTGACATTTAAAAGGTTTTTTTTTTTGGGGGGGGGGTTTGGTGGGTTGGTTGGGTTTTTTGTTTGTTTCTTTGTTTGTTTTGGTTTGATTTGGGTTTTGGTTTTTCGAAACACTGTTTCTCTGGGCTGCAGCTCTGGCTGTCCTGGAACTCTGTAGATCAGGCTAGCCTTGATCCTCCTGCCTCTGCCTCCCAAGTGCAGAGATTAAAGACATGCACCACTACCACCTAGCAATATTTGAAGTTTTTTTTTTTTTTTTAAGACATCATCTATTATTTAACACTTCATTTAATCCAAATATATACTCAATGTTAAGTATTACTGAGATCTTTTATTTGCCGTTTTCCGGATAGGATTTATGTTAGGTGAATACTCACACCTTCAGAGCGCCACTAATTCAGAATAGCTATATTTTTGGCCCAGTTGCTGGGAGCAGCTCTGACTTAAGTCAGCTCAGACCTGGGCAGTAGTTGGCCTGAAAAAGAAAAAGAATACTTAGTATTCTTTTGAAATTATTATTAATGAGTTTTTTAATTTTTATTTTATGTGTATGGGTGTTTTGCCTGCAAATATGTCTGTGCACCATGTGTGTAGTACCCTTAGAGGTCAGAAATATGTGTTGAATCTCCTGGAACTGGAGTTAACAGGCAATTGTTAGCTATCACATGGGTGCTGGGAATTGAATCCAGGTCTTCAGGAAGAGTATCCAGTGCTCTTGATCACTGAGTTCCCAAGTTCTTACCTCCAGCCTAAGTTCTTACCTTCAGAAAACAAACAGAAATTGAATTAAATCTGGAGTATTTATGTATAGCCAATAGAAAGCACAGAAATTTAGCACTTGGGAAGTTAAATTCAGTTGGAGCAAAACTTTGGACAATAGAGAAATAAAATATAATTTTAGAAATAAACTTTCCCAAGCTAGAAGTTTAGCCCTAATAATGAGTGCTTGCCTACAACTGCACAAAGCTCTGGTTCATTCCCCCAGCAACCATAAGCCAGGCATGCTGAAGCACCTGCTAATACCAGCACTTAGGTGGGGCAGAGGAATCAAATGTTTATGTCATTGGCTGTATACTTAGTTGAGGACTAAGTATTAGCCTGGGCTATATGAGTCTGTATCAAATGTGTTTGTGTGTGTGCATCTATATCTGCCTTGAATACATGTTTTTAGTATGTATAGCAGTTTAGGAGAACCACATTATTTGAGGTACTTTGAATTGAACTTAATGTCTGTGTACACCAGACAAGTAAGCCCTCTAAATTGAACTACTTTCCAAGCCCTCTTTTACATTTTAATTTTGAGCGATCCTCCCTATGTTACCTAGCCTGACCTTGAACTCACCCCTAATTGGCTCCATCACAGTGGGTAATAATTTCAAAGAAGTTACTTAGGATGAAAGAGAACAGTTTTGAGAAAAAATTTTCTTTGCAAATATTAGAAAACAGAAAATATAAATATCAGAATCAGGTTAGCCTAAATGACTGAAAATAGTAAGAATAACAAAATGCTCATTTATAAGATGATCATTTTGAGGACACATCTATACCGAAGAAGGAATGCCAATGGAGAAATCAACAGGCAAAGTGAAACTGGCTCAATGCAGTGTGAAAGACTAGGGTGAAGTCGAGCAAGGAAATGACTGCCCTGAATTCCTTGTGGATGAAAGGGTATGCAGCTTATCCAGAAATTTGTCCATTTCCTTTGAATTTTCAAGTTTTGTGGAGTACATGTTTTCAAAGTATGACCTGAAAATTGTCTGGATTTCTTCTGTGTCCGTTGTTATGTCTCCCTTTTCGTTTCTGATTTTTTTTTTTAATTTGCATGTTCTCTCTCTGCTGTTTTGTTAGTTTGGATAAAGGTTTGTGTATCTTGTTGATTTTCTCGAAAAACCAACTCTTTATTGCATTGATTTTTTTTTTTGTATTGTTTTCCTGGTTTCTACTTTTTTCATTTCAGCCCTCATATTGATTATTTCCTGGCATCTACTCCTCTGGGATGAGTTTACTTCTTTTTGTTCTAAAGCTTTCAGTTGTGCTGTTAATTCTTTAATTTGACTATCCTCCATTTTCTTCATATGAGCACTTAGTGCAATGAACTTCCCTCATAACACTGCTTTCAAGGTGTCCCATAAGTTCATGTATGTTGTGTCCTCATTCTCATTGAATTTTAGGAAGTCCTTAATTTCTTTCTTTATTTCTTCTTTGACCCAGGTATGGTGCAATTGTGCATTGCTCAGTTTCCATGAGTTTGTAGGTTTTCTGCAATTTGTGTTGTTGTTTAATTCCAATTTTAAAGCATGGTGGTTTGATAAGATACAGGGGACTATTCCATTTTTGTTTTCTTTTCTTTTTCTTTCTTTCTTTTTTTTTTTTTTTTTTTTTTTTTTTTTTTGTAATCTGGTGAGGTTTGTTATGTCGCCTAGTATGTGGTCAATTTTAGAGAAGGTTCCATGTGGAACAGAGAAGACGGTATATTCTTTTGTGTTTGGATGGAATGTTCTATCTATGTCTGTTAACCCCATTTGAGACATATTGTTAGTTCTTTCATTTCTTTGTTAAGTTTCTGACTGGTGGTCCTGTCTAGTGGTTGGGTGTTGAAGTCTCCCACTATAAGTGTGTGAGGTTTTATGTGAGCTTTGAGTTTTAGTAGTGTTTCTTATACGAATGTGGGCGCCTTTGTGTTTGGAGCATAGACATTCAGAATTGAGACTTTGTGCTGATCACTTCTGTGATGAATATGAAATGACCATCTTCTCTTTTGATTGATTTTGGTTTGAAGTCTAACTTGTTAGGGATTAGGATAGCCACACCTACTTGCTTCTTGGGTACATTTGATTGGAAGATCTTTTCCCAACCCTTTACCCTGAGGTAATGTCTATTTTTGAAGCTTAGATGTGTTTCTTGTATGCAGCAGAAGGATGGATTCTGTCTTCATATCCATTCTGTTAGCCTGTGTCTTTTTATAGGTGAGTTAAGACCATTAATATTGAGGGAAAGGAAGAACCATTAATGCTTGTTTATTTTAGATTTGTTGTTGGCGGTGGTATTGTGAATATATTGTGAATATATTTGCCCTGCTTTACCCTTGGGTTCTGGTGAAGTGGGATTATCTATTGCCTATGTCTTTGTGAGCATAGTTATCTTCTTTGGGTTGGAGTGTTCCTTCCAGACCTTTCTGTAGGGATGGATTTGTAGATACGCATTGTGAAAATATGGCTTTGTCATTAAATATCTTGTTTTCTCCATCTATAGTGATTGAGAGTTTTGCTGGGTATAGTAGCCTGGTCTGGCATCTGTGGACTCTCAGTACTTGTAGAACATCTATCCAGGACCTTCTGGCCTTGAAAGTTTCCATGGAGAAATCAGGTGTAATTTTGATGGTCTGCCTTTATATGTTACCTGGCCTTTTTCCTTCACTGCTCTTGATATTCTTTCTTCATTCTGTATGTTAGGTGTTTTGATTATTATGTGTCAAGGGGGTCTTTATTTTTTGATCCAGTCTATTTGGTGTTTGGTATGCTTCTTGTACTTTCATGGGCATGCCCTTCTTTAGATTGGGAAAGTTTTCCTCAATGATTTTGTTGAATATGTTTTCTGTACCTTTGAGATGGGCTTCTTCACCTTCCTCTATGCCTATTATTATTCTTAGGTTTGGCCTTTTCACAGTGTGAAAATAAATTAATATATAAAATATAAATATATAAAATAAATTAAGATATAATATATAAATATTTAAATTAATATATATAAAAAGGAAAGTGGACACAGGTCCAGCAATAAAGTATTATTTGTGTTCTCAAAGAAAGAAAGAAAGAAAGAAAAAAAGAAAGAAAGAAAGGGTATGCAGCTTAATTTACTGCAGCGAGATGAGTAAAGGCTGCGACCACAGCTCACTAGAGGGACCCAAACCATCAATGTTAGAGAATTTGATGTTTGGAGGTTGTCTTTGCTTTTGTTTTCTGCACTGCTGTAAGAAGGGCTCAGTGGTTTTCTTGATAACCCTGACTAGGATGGGCTGGGCTGGGGTGGGTGTTGAGTGGGGAGGAAGGAAGCCTGAGGCCTGTGGCTGGGCAGGCCTGGTGAGCTGTGGGGTGTGGGGGATGACAGCACAACTAGCAGGTCAGGCCTAGCTGGAAGGCGCAGCCACTGGGAGAGGTTGGATTTATTCTTCATCCATAGGACTCAGCCTGCAGAGTAAGAGCACAGCTGTGAAGTCGGAGAACCTTGGGTGAATTCTATAGCTCACATCTCAGGCTCTTAGTTTACTAGCACCGAGCCAGGGGTTTAGTTGGCCTGAGAGAGGCCTTGGTTTATTTC